GTAGTAACACATATTTTCCAATAATCAAATTCTGACTTAGTTTAAAATTACAAAAAAACCAAATCAGAATTTGGCTGCATTATATTTCAACCAAAATCACGAAAACTCGTTTCAAAATTTGATTTATCGAAATCCGAATTTCAAACTATAACTATGTTAAATTAACAAAAAATTAATAACTAAATTCTGAACTATCCAAAAATCATACTATTCAAATAAATATTGTTAGCTTAGAAAATAAAAAAGCAAAATATGTTATGTCAGAAAAAATTTCCAAAACTGGTTAGAGATTAAGAATTTAGAAAAATAATATAGTTGGTATTTAAAATTTAAAAGAAAAAAAAAAGGATAATACGTCCACCTCTATGAACTCTTATGGAAGTGATCTATTACAGTTGGCACTACCTTATCATGGTAAGAATTTACTTATGAATTACCATTTCTTTTTATTTTCACAGACAGTTTTTTTAAAAATGGTTCATTTGAGTTACGCTGAAATATGAAATGTGAGTTTATAAACTTAGTTTAGTGAACGATAACATCTTGGTAATTTGGCAAACCCTTCAAAGAGGCCTTGCACTTCTTAAAAAAATAATGTTATCAAATTCCTTGACAAGATTACAGATTTAGAATTTCGATAATTTTGTTTTTGTGTTGTTATATGCTGTGGATTTTCATTGAAATAATTTTATCATACAAAATCAAAATGATGTTTTTAAGAATAAATTGACATTGATTTTTTTTTATTGAAGATATGAAATAGAGTTTATTATTTTATAATATGGTTAAAAAGTTGATTTTCAATTGAAATGACAGTCATGCGTATAGATGAAAGTTATTCATGAAATGAAATATTATTTCTGAAATCAATAAAAAAAAAATGTGGTTTGCTTGTTTTTAATCAAAGAAGAAGATGTTGAAGAATACTTAAGAAATTTAAATTCTTTAGTGAATTTCTCATCACGAGTAATATCAAATAATAGGTATTTGACAATGGTATAATGAGTATCGTGTAGTTATTTACAAATAACTGAATAATTGTTTTAATATAATCTATATATAGAATTTTATTTGTGATTATGGAGTGAGAAAACCAACATGTACAAAAAACTTTGTAAAAGTCAAACATGGAAATGACAAAGAGAGTATTAATTTTTGAGTTTCCTAAGCACAATTTTGTTTTATTTTGGTAATTCTTTTTCCTTTGCCCATTATTTTTCTTATTCATTTAATTTCTTGACTTGTTTTTATGCTCTCAAAATTTATTTTTGTTCTTTTTGACTTATAGTTATCATTACATTGTCTTTAAATTTTATTTTATTTTTCTACAAAATAAATTTAGAATTTAGTTCCAGTATGTTTTCTTGAAAAATCTAGATTATAATATTTCTTATCATTTGTTCTGATCATTTTAATATAATGTAAGTTTTTGTTTTATGTATTTTAAACATAACTAATGTTATATAAAAATAAATATAAAAATGTTTTGAGTCTTGATTTTTTTTAATGATTTTCTTTAAAAGTAACTCCAAATAATGAGAAGAAAAAGAAAAGAAAAAAAATGAAAAGATAATAATGTCGACAAAACGACGACAATAAAATGATAAAACAACCTAAAATAAGAACAATGTCAGTCGAGAATAGAGTAAAAGGAGAAAAAAAAATAATAGAAAAGAAAAAAGAAAAAAAAATATTAAGATAATATTTCATAAAAAAAATTATTATTAAGATAACATTTATTTCAACATTAAAAAATAACCTCTTAAAGTAGTGATTTAAATCCTTTCACTACTACTAAACCGTGGGTATCATGTTTAACATGTTAACATGATTTTTGATAGACTTTGAAATAGTTGAATTCTCCGGAAGAACTATAATGAAATTAATATTTCAAAACATTTTATCAGTTTTGCTTATTTCAGTTTTTTTAAATACAACAGAAAATGACACTTTGATGATTTATTTTTATAACTAAATTTATAAAAAAATTATTAATATTTATTTATTAAAATAGGGTTCATAGACTTAATCAAGAACACATTGAATCAATTAAATCTTGTTTTGTATAAATGTACAAAATATTGCAAGAGTAAGGAAAACGTATTATTTTTGACAAAATTTACACATAATTAGATCATAAGACGTAAACATTAATCATTGTAATTGGATTTTGCAAACTAAATAATAACAAATTCTACAAGTGAAAGTATGCAATTATTCTATAAAATTTCATTTGATAACAATTAATAACATACAGAAATCATATCATTGGTCTAAATTCATAAAATTTATATTTTCACACACATTACTTGTTATTTCTCTAACATGTTCATTTCAACAAATTGTTTTTAATGGGAAATCCTGAAATAAACAAAAATTTCTTCAAACGATTTATTTGAATTTAATTTATTATCTTGTCTACTTGTATGAGGATTGTAGAAAGAAGAAGTTTAATAAGTCTTTTTGAGGTGATTTGAGAAGTTATGAATGTTGTCTTTTCAAGTCTTTTTGTTCAACAGTAATTTTCGTTGAATTTCTAATTGCTATATATAATACAATGAAAGTAGAAGAATATAATAATTGGCAATTTGGAATGGAGTGGGAATTATTCTTAGATTAGATGAAATATAAATTGAAAACTGATTCATATTTTTTTCTGAACAATGGTTAGTGACATAATTAAGTCTATTTTGTTTGAAATTAATTATAGGCTCCTTTTAATATGAGGAATAGTATTTCACATATATACTTTTAACCTACTTATATCCTCATCCATGATTGATGGATTATGGCAAATTTTGTAGAGCTATTTTTTAATTAATACATATTTTATTATTTTTATTAATTTTAATGATCACCGTAAAGCTTATATTTAAATTTTAAATTCTTATCAACATAAAACTTATTTATTAAGGAAGAAATTTACTTAATCTTTTGTGTTATTTATGAGTAAATAGTATACACAATAGTATAAAAATGAACTTTTAAATTCAGTTTCAATGAAAACGAAGATAAAAAACATACATACTATACACTTACTGTAATTAGTTTATTCATATTGTTATGTTGTTATTATTTATATTTTTGTGACTTATTTTTACTTGAACGCATGCTTTTGTGACTTAGTTTCAAAATAAACATATATTATTTTGAAACATTGTTAACTTTACTTATTGTATATGTAGATTAATTTTGTAATTATGTTTAGTTAACCATCCAAACACGGTGATATTAGGTATTATTATGATTTTAATATTTCAGTTATGTTTATGTCTTACAATTTATCAATTTTTTTATTACATCAAAATTTAAACATAAATAAATTATATTTATTATAAAAATAATCTAAATAAATACATATAAAACATTAAACCACTAATACTAAACCATTAATACTGATCTTAATGAATCAAAACTAAATTAATTAACATTAATATAATGATATTCTTCACGAACCATATAAGAAATTTAAACGGTAAAAAGTTAATCCAAAAATCAATCTAAAAAATAATTACTTTCCAATCTAATATTTCTCAAAATCTCCTTTACTCCAAAATATAAATAATTCATATAAATTTGATATAAATAAATATTTTATACTCTTATAAAAATTGAAAACTTATATCTATGTATTCACCTGGTTTATATATAATCATTATATATATATATATATATATATATATATATATATATATATATATATATATATATATATATATATATATATATATATATATATAATTTTTTTTTCCTTTTCAATAATTTTCAACTGGGTTTGAACACTACCCAAAATTTACTTAAATCTAGTGGATTGTTTTATTAGCAAGCAATTGTCTTGTTTGTATCTCTTAATTTGATGCATATTTGTTTTATTCATTATACTTTAAGTTTTAAAAAATTGAAATATGAAAAAAGTGTCATGATTTAAATTACATATTTAATTAAATTAAAATGAAATTTTTAAATAATCTTTTAATAATAATTTCAATTTTATAATTATTTATATATTAGTATAAATTAATAGAAATACATGCGCCTTCAATTTTTTCATAAAAAAGATACAAATAATATTATCATAGTAATTATTAAAATAAAAAGTATTATGATATCATAACAAATTCATAAAATATATTTATATAAATAAATAATTTTGTAGGTAGATTTATTTATTATAAGTAGTTATTTTAATTTAAAAAATATTATTTACAAAATAAAATAGTAAAAAATTATATGCACTAAAAAATGAGAATTTTCTTTATTAATAGACATACATGGAAGCTAGGGGGGTGTTATGTCACTTGTCGTTAATACAACTAGCACTTTAATTTTACATTACACATATAAAATAAATGTTTAAATATATCAATTGTATTACAGATTTGAAATAAATTATTTAAATGATTGTTTTTATTTTTTGTAATACTATTTAGGTTAACATAGAGATAATAATAAAAGAGGTTAAACAAAAAAATAGATAATTTTTTACAAAAATTACGATAATCCAAACGAGGACGTTTAAATTTAGAAAGAATTGCTATTTGCACTCTTCTATACTCTTCACACCTCCATTCCACATTTAAATATCTAAACTACCCTTTGTTAAGTCACACTCTCATCCTTATCACTTTTTTATTCTTATTCTGCATTATATTCTTGTTTATTTCTTGGTTTGTATCTCATCTCCGAATAAGTAAGAACAACCATAAATAAGAGAGAGATGGAAAAGATGCGAAAGGGTATAGAGATGTTTAAAAAATAAAATAAAGAGATGGGATTGAGAACGAAAATCTCTCATATTTGACTCTTAAACATATCCTACGACAATATTTGGTAACAATATTAGTTGTTTGAAATTATTTTAGAGTCATTGTAGTCTAACTTGCATTCGCATGCTTTTGAAAATAATGCGGTCGAGGTTTAGGAGATATGTATTTATTATTTGTGTTCCATTTTACGTTAATTATTTTAACAATTTTATTGCAAACAACAAAAAGATGATATATAATCAAAAGAATTTCACATTATTTTGAATGCAATCATTACACGATCAAATATATATATATAGATAGATAGATAATCTACAAAGAAACAAATGAAAGAGATCTCTAAGAGTAGCCTCCATTAGGATCAAGATTTCGAATCTTGGCTCATTTTCCTTTGTCGCTTCTTGAACTTAGTAAGAACAAAACATGCAAGATGACAACCAAATAGATGGAAGCAGCCTCGTCCGAATCGTGAAGATTGTAACTTAGAGATGATACATTCAGATCCTTATTCAAAGAACGTGTACAACAAATTAGATGCTTAACTCTGCTCCAAATGGAACTTGACTTTATTCCACAATGAATACTATAACCTGAAAGCAAAAGTAAAAGTTTTCAATATTTTCAAGATCCATAAATGAACGTCAAACAGATACTTTTCAATATATTTGGATTAATAACTTACATGACTTGTAGTCAATTTTGCTTAATTCGAAGCTTAATGGTAGATGGGTGGTGGAGGAGATTTGTAATAGTAGGGAGTATGAGGATCGGGAGATGGTGGAGGAGGACTCTTGTAGTAATAAGGAGGGGGTGGAGAAGGTGATGGAGGTGGAGGTGACTTGTAGTAGTAGGGTGGCGGTGGTGAAGGAGATGGTGGTGGTGGTGACTTGTAATAGTAAGGAGGTGGCGGTGAAGGATCTGGTGGTGGAGGTGATTTGTAGTAGTAGGGAGGTGGTGGCGATGGGGATGGTGGTGGAGGTGACTTGTAGTAATATGGAGGTGGTGGTGAGGGGGATGGTGGAGGAGGTGACTTGTAATAGTAGGGAGGTGGTGGTGATGGATCTGGTGGTGGAGGTGACTTGTAGTAGTAGGGTGGTGGTGGTGATGGAGATGGTGGTGGAGGAGACTTGTAGTAGTAAGGAGGTGGTGGTGATGGGGATGGTGGGGGAGGAGACTTGTAGTAGTATGGAGGAGGTGGTGATGGATCTGGTGGAGGAGGTGATTTGTAGTAGTAGGGAGGTGGTGGTGATGGAGATGGTGGTGGAGGTGATTTGTAATAGTAAGGTGGAGGAGGGGATGGTGAGGGTGGAGGAGGGCTCTTGTAGTAGTAAGGAGGATAATATGGATCCTTGGGAGGAGGAGGTGGAGATTTATAGTAGTAGGGTGGTGGTGGAGATGGTGATGGTGGAGGTGGGCTCTTGTAGTAGTAAGGAGGATAATATGGATCCTTCTTGGGAGGAGGTGGAGATTTATAGTAGTAAGGTGGAGGAGGAGATGGTGATGGTGGAGGTGGGCTCTTGTAATAGTAAGGAGGATAATATGGATCCTTGGGAGGAGGAGGTGGAGATTTATAATAGTAGGGTGGAGGTGGTGATGGTGATGGTGGAGGTGGGCTCTTGTAGTAGTAAGGAGGATAATATGGATCCTTGGTGGGAGGAGGTGGAGATTTGTAGTGGTATGATGGTGGAGGTGGTGACTTGTAGTAGTATGATGGTGGAGGTGGAGGTGGTGACTTATAGTAATAAGGAGGGTATGAGTGTGAGGGTGAAGGTGGAGGGGGAGAGCTGTAGTAGTATGGTTTGTGTGAATGCTTGTGTTTCTCACAATCATATGGTTTTTCTGGAGCATAAGCAAATGGCTTAGCCTTCAGAACAACTTCGTACTTATCCTTTGACTTCAACTCCAACTTGGTTCCCACGTTAAGCTTGGTGGGTATCTTGCAACGTGAGCCCTTAGGAGGAGCATGGAGTTTAGCCTTGCAGACTGTGCTTCCATATTTAACATAGTCAAATTTGTCAACAGTGATGCTGTATTTTCCGTTGTTCTTAGTTTTACCGTAAGCTGTTATGGTCTTGCTTCCAACTTCACAGGTCACTTCGACCGTGGCACCTAAGGTGAAAAAAGCATGAATTTCACAGTTAAAACACAAATCGAGGTAACATATAACAGAAGATTACATTTTAATTTTAATTTTAAAGGAAGTTTTTATTTTGTGAATACAAGATGAGAAAATAAGATGCTATTTCTTTTCATTTTTATAGTGTATTAATGCACATGTATATGGAAAATTTAGGGAAAAAAAGTTTTAATGAAAAGTGTTTTCTAAAATGTAGTGAAATATGACTTAAAGAGGTTCTTGTAAAGTGTAGATAGTCACATACAACAAGATCAATATAAAAATAGGAAAATGAGTTTGACTAAGAAAAATAAATGAAAGAAGATAATGTCATAGATAAAATATTTTTAAAAAATACAGTTAAATATTGCCAAACAATGACACGTTTGAGTGGAAAATTATATAAATATTGCTATTGTCAAAGTCTCATAATAAATTAATAATAATGATAATAAATAATAATAATAATAATATAAAAGTAATGTTTGCACCTTCGAGGGCTTTCTTGTTGTGCGATTTCTGAGGGTATTTCCAGTCATAGCATCTGTAACAATAGACTTTACCGACAACCTTAACGATCAATGAGTGGTGATACGGGTGAGGGTGAGGATATGCAACCGGGGGAGAGTAGTAAGGCTTAGGAGATGGTGGAGGTGGAGATTTGTAGTAGTAAGGCTTAGGAGACGGTGGAGGAGGAGATTTGTAGTAGTAAGGCACGTGTGGAGGGTATGGTGAAGGAGGTGGAGGAGACTTGTAGTAGTAAGGATCATGGGGTGGTGACTTTTCAGGTGGGGGAGGAGACTTGTAGTAGTATGGTGGGGGTGGTGACGGTGAAGGAGGTGGTGGGGACTTGTAGTAGTAAGGATCATAGGGTGGAGACTTTTTAG